CCCAGCTAGCATGGCTGGCTGGGGGATTCAGGGAGTTGAAGTCCACACATCTTCAAGCTGCCAAGGTTGAGAAACGCTGCTTTAGAATATGAGGGTTAGCAATCAAACCAGCATCCTGGTTTCTGGCCTGAAGGAGCAGTAAAAACAGCAGAGGTGATCCTTTGAGTGCCCCATCATCAGAGCTTATTAAACAAGCCACCATGGGTTGGGTTCACAGGGGGGCCCTGTTTCCAAGCCACAAAGCGACTGGGTTTACATAACCCTCAATCATTCTGGCTTAGTGCAGGATGCGACCCAGTTGATATTGGATCCACTACGAAGCAGCCTTGCTGCAAATTCTGGGCATTTGTTCTGCCTGGCCGTGTTTTTTAAAGTGCAGCGCCTCCCGGGGCTCCACAAAATCAAAATTGTTTTGCTAGGTATGTAGAACAATCTTCCTCTCCTCATTCTTATTTTTTACTTGTTAAAAAAAGCAGGTTTTTGCAGGAAAAGTGTTTTATTTCTGTTCGTATCTATCGGGTCTAATATTGTCGCTTTTTGCACGATTCGATAAATATTTCACAAGGGTATCAGTTTTAATTTTAATACAGTAAATATCGATACATATAACCCATACAAAGCCAAAGCTCTTTTGTGGTCCTCACATAATTTTTAAAAGGGGTCCTGAGAGCAGAAGGTTTAAAATAACGCTAGCCCAGAGGAATGAATTTTATTTTATTTAGGACGGTGTCTCTTCTTTCCTTCTGAAGAACGCAAAGCGGTACGTGGGGAATGATTACCGTGACCGTATTTTCTTGGAAAAAATAAAGGAGGAGCCTGAAAAAGGGGCAAATCTGAAAGATGTTCATAAGGATACAAAAAAAATTAATTGATTATGTTTATAACTTTGCTTTACAAAGGAAAACTCAAGAACAAAACCAAGAAAATAAATGTTTAATCTCAATATATCTCAAGGACAGCGTTCTGAAATACAGGACGGTCCTTTATAATAATATATATCAAAGTAGGGATAATCCACTATATTCTCAAATTTGCCCCAGGAAATAGATGGGGGGGAGACGTGCATCTCGTTGGCCTTCCTGAAGTCCAATTCCCAGAATTCCCTGGAGGGCCAAGAGAGCTGGGGAATTCTGGGAGATGTTCTACCCTCTGGAGGGGTAGGAGTTGGGGAAGACTGGTACACCCCCATAACTGTTAGGAAGCCAGCGTGGGGTGGTAGTGAAGGTGTTGGACTAGGATCAGAAACTTTAGATTCAGGGCGACTTCTGGCCATAGAAACTCACTGGCTAGCCGTCCTGAAGGCTCTTTCATCCCAGCCTACCCTACAGGGTTGTTGTTGAGGAAAAATGGGGAGGGGGGATATTCTCTATGTTGCTTGTGGAGGAAAACATGGATAAGAATTAAAGGGCCCAAGAGTTTCTTCATTTAATTTACTTATTTATTAAATTTACATGCCACCCATCGCCCCCAGAGGGGGACTCTGGGCGGCCCATGATTAAAACCTGAAACAGGAAAAGCGATAAAAATATAAATATCCACATTCAAATGAGCGAATAACGATTCTGTATGAAAAGGCCGTCTATCTTCGCGTGCTTAAAAAACTCTCCCGCGTTTCCGGCGCTGCTGTTGTGCAAAGCGGCCCCTGGAATTTGCAACGTACTCCTGCAATAGATATACACATTTTTCGGTCCAAGAACGCGCTGCTCCAAATCCCCCCGAAATCCCGTGCTCACAGACGCCGCCCTTTCGCGGGGCCATTTGACCTAGTCAAGTCTGGGACAAAGTTGAGGTCCGTCACGAGCGCCGGGCGGCCGGAGCGTGGGGTGTCCGTGGGACGGAGGGGGGCTGCCTTGCCACCTGCCCGGCGTTGTCAAAAACGGGTGCGATTCCTTCGCCCGTCTCTTTCTGGAGCAGATCGGTCTAAATGCTGCTTCTCAGCTGTTTTTTTTCGGTATTTCAACAATGCTGCTGTTTTTTCCCTTCTAAACAGCAGCTGCGCAATGCGCCCGACACTTGATCACGAGGAACGGAGGCTGACCGTTTTCCTTAAGCCGGTCATGTTCGTTTGGAAAAAGTGGGGGGGGTCTGTTTTGGGAAAGTTGGTTGAGAGAGAAAGCAGCCCCTTCGGTCACAAGAGTTGGGTCCTGCTGGCCTACGGCGGCGTAGTTCTTCTGCCTCCTGCCGCAGAAAAATTCTCGTTCTGAGGTCCTTACCCTATAAATTGAAAAATCAGGTTCAAGAGGGACATTGGTGTGGCAGCCGCCGTGGCTGATTTAAAAAAAACAAATCTAAGAATCGTTTCGAGATAGGACAAGCTGTCTGTCAGTCTGTCTCTGCCATCTATCCCTCCCTCCCTCCCATATGTCCATCCATCCGTCCATGAATGATCTCGCCGTATTTTATCTGAGTCAACTTTTGCTTACTCAAATGCGCATAGAAAAGTCTTGGCAGGTTTGATCTTAGAAGTAAGTGGATGGTTAAGAACCATCTAAGTTAGGGACCTGGAGGTCTGGCGGCACGATCCTGGCGTCGAAGAGCTACTCCGCTTAACAAGCGTAGGCGGAAAAATGAACAGAACAGGTGTTTTCAGCATGGAAGAGGCTGCTTGGGGAGGTGGTGGCCTCTCCTTCACTGAAAGCCTTTCGACAGAACCTGGACGGGCCATCTGTTAGGTGGATTTGGGCAAAGAGTTGGGCTAGATGACCACAAAGGTCCCTTCCGATCCTTCCATTCTGGGATTCTGTGCTTAAATTAGGATCCCTGAACGAGGCGGGGGGTTGGTCTAGGTGACCCCCAAGGTCCCTTCCAACCAGCCCATTCTGGGGTCCTGTGCCTGAACTTGGATTGCTCCGCTGGGCAGAAAGGGCGGTGGGCTAAAACTCTCCAGGCTGCCTTCCCGCTCTGCGATTCTGGGAAATACGTTCAGACGTTGAAAAGCTTCTCCTCTTAAGTCGCTGTCTCCCAGCAGAAGACGCTTCTGTGCGGAGTTCTGTTTTCCGAAGGGTTGATCTCGGTGCTCTTCAGTCCAGCTCCTTGCAGGGTGCAAAATTGACCCGGTCACTTTGGGGGTTAGAATCTCGGCCTCCTTCGTCACATCCGCAAAGCTGAACCAGCCTCTCCTCTGTCTCCGTTCCCAACAGCTGCGGATCACCGTCTGGTCCCTGTGCACAAAATCCGTGTCTTACATCAAGTATCCCAAAGCTTGTCAGCAGGGTAAGTAGAGCCACCTTAATTCAAGATTTTTTTTTTAACGTATCTGGGTCTACCCCATGGTTGAGTAAATGTAGGCTTCACGAGGGTGGACCATGGTGCCAATTGGATGGGTGGGGTTGGGGTGTGTAAGGGGGACTTTATGAATCCTCATCGTCTTCGTTTCATTAAGGTCTGTTGGATAAGTAGCCTGTGGGGAGATTCCCACCGTTTGCTAAACCAGGACGGTTGGTTCACAAACCATGGTAGATAGGAACCCACCACTTGCTGACCCAGACTTGAACCAAGCCATCTTCTAGCAAGACAGATGAACGTGATGAATAAAAACAGCCACGAGAGGCTGTATTTTCAGAAAAAATCAGTATACATTCCCCTTTTCTTGCTAATGCTGGTAGATACCAACGTTTAGCTCGCTCAGAGTGATCTTTTTCGGACATCAGGCTTTCATAGAATCATCGCCTGGAATGATTGGAGGGACTCCAGAGATCATCTGGCCCAGTGCAAGAATCCTGATTCAGTTGCTGAAAGGATGGCTTGACATGGGGACTGGGAGATCCTCTCGCTCAGCCCTTTCCACCCTTGGCAGCATCCAGATGTGTGGACTTCAATTCCCAGAATTCTTAGCCCAGCCATGCTAAGGCTGCGCAGGAGCCTGTGCGATGGTTCTATGGCATTTAGATGGTCTTCTGTTCTTCTCCCGCAATCTTGCTTTTATTTATATTTTTACTTTTTTTTTTAAACAGCCGTGACATTGTTTTAAGTGTGGGGGGGTGCGCCGCCCGGAGTCACGTTCAGTGGGATGGGTGGCTGTGTCAATTGATTAAATAAATAAGATGAAATCTGAAAATGGCCACGGTGGGGAAACTGATTCTAGCCAAACCCCGTGCCCGGTGCAGGAATCCAGATTCTGGCGTAGAGTCATTGAATTGGATGAGTTGGAAAGGACATTGGAGAACATCTAGACCTACCATAGGCCTACCATAGGAACCCACCACTATTGAATCCCTAAGGAGAGGCCACCCCCCCAGGCAGCCTCTTCAATTGTTAACAGCTCTTCCTGTTATGGATTTTGTGGAAGTCCCACGTGAAACTGACTGCCTTGTATCCTAAGCCCCTCAATCTCTGGAACAACTTTTGAGAAGTTTGCACCAAGCTAGCACCTTCTTTAAACCCTTGGTCCCATCCCTGGGTTCCTTGAAGAACCTGCGTTAAATCATTTATTGCTTGCTACATTTTTTTTTTAAATGTGGGGCTCGTGCTGAGTGGGGAGCTTATCCTGAAGGTCGCGTGCAGAAGGAACTCCGTTAAGGAACTGGCTGAGTTCGCTCCCGGTGGGAAGTCGTGAATTTTTTAAGCTGTGGTTGACTGAAGCGGCCAGATGCTGGGTTAGCCGGCGACGCTAATTGGGACAGTGCAGCAGCGTCCATGCCAAAGCCATGTGCCTTGTATCTGTCTGCAGGCGCTTTAAGCCCAGCGGATCTTTTCACGGGATCGCATTGCAGCTGAAGAGGAAAAAAACACAGCTGTTTCCAGGAGGTGCAGACCGGCGCAATGCAAGGGCCAGAGCTCCATAATAACACTAAGCCGGAAAAACCCAAACCCACGTGGCACTTTTGGGTCATTTGTAATCTGTTGTCCTTAGTAGGAGACACACTAAAACTCTGCTCCGTCAGCTGTACAATACTCCCCTGTCCAGATTTGTCCGTTTAGGAATTATTATGGAGGTTAAGATGATCTTCCGGACCCCCTGCTCGTAAACGTTGGTGTGTGTGTGATGGTGGGTGTTGCCACATAGAGGTTCTCGCGGGAGAATCTGGCTCCATCTGCTGAGGTGGGTGGGAGAGGCCTTAAGGAGCAGACAAAATCATGGGCTACCCCTTTAGGTTATTCATGATTTTTTCCCAATCACACAGAACAAAGAATCCTCCAGTTAAAAACAACATTTTTTGGATGGAGTCCTCTAAGCTTGACCGTTTGCTTGCAGACGTTTCATGAACCAACTAGGTAACGCCCTCCGTGCGAGGGAGGGTGCGATTTGGTGCTTGTTTATGTATCGTAGCTTGTCCTGCCAGTTTTGGTGGGGGGGTTTCCCCCTTGATAGTTCCTTGATTGGAATATTTTCTGCCTGATGATTTATCAATCCTGGTTTATCTGAATGTTGGCTGCTGGTGGGGACGTGTTCCAGTCTTTTTGTTTCCTTCCTAGGTTTTTCATTCGCATTCAGACAACCCAGCCATCAGTAGACACATAGAGATAAACCACATTTACACACCGTTCAAAAGAGACAATAAAAGACAAGCTACGCTATATAAACAAGCAGCAAATCCCACTCTCCCTTGCATGGATGATGTTCGCTAGTTGGGTCATAAAACGTCTGCAAGAAAACAGTCCAGCGTAAACAGCACCAAGAAGTTCAACCCTGAGCTACGGACGTTTTCTCCTTTCTTTCTTTCTTTCTTTCTTTCTTTCTTTCTTTCTTTCTTTCTTTCTTTCTTTCTTTCTTTCTTTCTTTCTTTCTTTCTTTCTTTCTTTCTTTCTTTCTTTCTTTCTTTCTTT